CAGTTCGAGTTCTCCAGCTAGGAAGCAATTTAGCTGTTTGTCCTCCTGGCATGTGAGTTAATTGTTTAATTGTTTGTTTCTTTCCTCCCCTTCCCCCCCCCNTGGTGCATCTGGATTTTTTTGTCTCTTTGATTTTCAATCGAAAATAACCCAAAAGTATGTAAGCTTTTTTTACATTTCACATTGCTTGCTTGAAGTAGTTATGCTCTAAAATTGATTCCTGTTTCTGGTTTTTTTTTTGGGGGGTCAAATTCCTGTTTCTGGTTAAAAGGACCTAATGTTGTGGTAAAATTGTGGCTTCGACTATGATGGTAACTACTTTGTATAAATATGTTGAAGGTTAGGTTTTCTACTTTTTGGAGTTTCATTTTCTCCTATTCTTGATAAAGTGCTGGTTTTGGTAGAAAATTTTTCAGGCAGCCAGATGGCACATGAGAGTGCGACTCAGTGCTGTATTATAGTGGTAAAATATCTCTGAAGTGCCCTAGGTGTAGCATCCTTTGCTAGGAATGAAAGAAATGGAATTCATTCCTAAATCAGTTACGGTTCCTACTTGAATTGATTGAAGTTCTAAAAATTTTTATGTTTTGAAGTTCTGGTCGGTGGAAACACATGCTTTGGAGTAAGGAGTGATCTGTGAATTTTAATATCTTTTTTCTAGATTAACCAAAATGTTCTGTCTGTAGAGCAAAGCACTGGGAATAGTTGATTTATGTTGTGTGCTTTCTGTTCAGGTTTATATTATATCTTTCAGCTTTGTGTGACAATGCCATTCAAGGGAAAAACTTACTTCATGCAGCCATAAATGCTCTATTTTCAGCCCCCGTGCCTGGAAATGCTGAAAATAGTAACACTGATCAGAATGAGAATGCAGAACAAGTGAAACCCGGCCTACTTTGGAGTGTCTTCTACATACAGGAGCTTATTATGGTTTGCTTCTCATCTTTATATTCCTCTTTTTTCAACATACCATTGTGTGTGCGCACCTGTGTCTATTTTTCCTGTTTCTATCCCCCTGCCAATTAGTTTCTGCTAGGTTGTGCGGTTAGAAGCAAGCTGGGCTTTAAGGGCTTTTTTATTTCTCTAGTTCGCTTTCCTGTGGATGTAGAAGTATATTAAGAGCCTAAAGAAGGTAGGCTTATTTAAAAAGCTTGTCCATTTGCTACTTATTGTGGGCATCCTATCAGTTATGTTAGCAATCTTCAGACATAACACATGAGACCCTTATTGAAGCCTTGACATGTATGTTTTGTGCATGTGCAGCCGAAATTCTTGTTGATTGTTGCACCTTAATCATTGAGTGTAATGGTCGCTATGCCTCACATATCAATGCAATTTTATTATATATTTTGAGCCCTTGGTTTGACTGCTAGACTCTAATGCTATTTTGATAATTTTCCAGGGGTCATGCAAATCAGTTAGTTTTACCCCAATGCCAGATGGGAATCTAAACTACAGTGATGTTTTAGACGAGGCTATGAAGGTAGTATATTTTCTGATGTAATTCTTCAAGATTAATTCATTCACCTTGAGTGCCATGCATGGTTTCTTCTTGCTTCTCCTATAATGGTTGTGTCGATGGCTATAGCAATTTGGTCTTAGAAATTATGTAATTCATATTTTAGTGCTCACTGTAATTTGGTGAATCTGCATATGGCAGCTATTTCAGAAGATGTATCCTCATGAAGAATTCTTCCCAGAGACAGCCCAGTCCGATAAGCTTGAGGATGAGGTTGATCTTGATGTAGAGTCCTAACGATGATTTGGTTGGCCGCTAAGAGTTCTCTATCAAAGTGTGGCACCGATAACGTAAAAGCTAATTACCCATGTCTGCCTCGAATGTTGAAGAAGTAATAAGGAGACATCTGAAATGGCAGCTGTTTGTTACATGAAACAGACGAGTTTTCTGTTCAAATTGCACCAACAGGCGCTAGTAATTTGGCTGATTATTCACTATTGCAGAAGGGCTAGAGGGCATCCCATTGGTTACTTCCTTGACTATTTTTCTCACACAAACGAAGGACTGGAGAACTGTACCATTCAGTATTTTACTTCAAGTTCACTGCAAGTCTGTAACTGAGAAGCATACCATGACCCCATTTTTTTTTCTTTTTTTTTTTTTGTGTTTTTTGTTGGGACTTGAGGGAAGAGGGAGGCAGGGAGGGAGAGGAGGGGGAATAACTTTTCTAATTTTACTTGGACATTTTGCGAGATGTATCTCGTTGATTTGCATGTAAACCTGGCTTACAATATGTATCGGCTATAACATTTCAAATCATCTTTATTATATACCCCCACGTTGTTGTGTTACTATGATGTAAGTACTTGCATTTGACCCAAGGAGTTAGCCCAGTAGTAGATAAATCTCTTATGAGGGTAGGTCGGAGGTTTGAATATTTCATGAAACGTAGTTCTTTAAAGTCTATGCATTTACCCCTTGTGTGGAAATATAGTTTTGTATAAGGTTTAGTATTAATTTGGTGCGTGAGCAGGGTAATATTGTGGTGATTTATTGAGACACATGAGATATAAAATAAAAATAGTACTTGCGTTTGTTTTTGAAAAATAGGATTTGTCACGTGCAGTGCAATACACTCAAATTAACTGTTAGATTTTTAAGTAAGAGACTAATTATTGTACCTAAAAATTATTTTTTGATATTATATTTGATTTTTTTTTTAATCAGAATGTGACGAGTGTAAATTTTTTATTTTTATTATCAATAATTATAAATAAATGAATCAAATAATTATAATTATAATTATTTTTCAATATGAATTTTTTTTTTTCATTCCTAGCACTAATGCGCTGTCGTTTGAGTAGATGGAGTGAGCGGTTACTTTAGTTTTTGTTTTTGTGTACCACTTTTAGGTAGCATTGTGAGAGGTGATGTCAACGTGCTTGGCTGTGAACTAATCGTAACGTCCGATAACACAAGTAAAAGAGTGCCACTTTGCATGAACCTCTATGCCTCACGACATGGAGTTAATTACTAGAATTATTCGATTTGACAATGTTTATTTTTTATTGGAAAAACGAGATTTGAATGTACGATTTGAAAAATTTAATCTACTGTCAAGTAAAGACGACGACCAACGAACTTTTAGTTCAATAGTATTCCTTATCTTGTCAAGACTTTACCTTCTTGAAATCAGGTATTCAAGTTTCTCCTCCCCTTCCCAAAAAAAAAATAAAGACGACAAGGAGAGTAACTTGTTGCTATGAGTGTTAATCGAGTTAAACTGGTAAAACTTAATTATGTTGAGATTCAATTACGTTGTGACTAATCAAACTCACTCTCAAACTTATGTTTTTATTCTCGGCTCAAAAGAAGTTAATGAGTAATAAAAATCTAGTAAACTTTGTGTAGTTAATCATAAAATCAAATCTTGCTAATTTTTTTGTTCAAAAATCTATTAGAGAAGATGTAAAGAGTCTGGATCTATTTGGGGGATAAATTTCAGGTTCTTCATCCTTTGAATAAGAGTTTATGTTGTAAAATTACAATTATTTATAGACATAAGTTATTCGAACGAATTGAAACTACTCAAACCCAGTTAATTGTCGTTCAATTTTACCCCCTTTACCAAATGACTTTAGAAATCTAATCTAGTTTAGTTCAACTCATAATTTAAACGAGCCAAAATTAAACCTAATCCAAACTAAACTCGAGTTGCACCAATCATCTAGCCAGCCTACTTTTTTCTACCCAAATGTACATCNTAGAAATCTAATCTAGTTTAGTTCAACTCATAATTTAAACGAGCCAAAATTAAACCTGATCCAAACTAAACTCGAGTTGCACCAATCATCTAGCCAGCCTACTTTTTTCTACCCAAATATACATTTCATCAAAATAAGACACTTGATAACTCAAATTAACCTCGATGATTTTGAATGTTATTATAATATGATTAGCACAAGTAAAACACGTAGGAAACACATTGCCAATTTTTTTTTAGTCAAACACTATTACATGTTATTCAGATCTTTTGCTATACAATAGGAGTGTTGTTCCTCAAAACAAAGTCATTTCATATATAAAACAACATTATTTTTCAATATAAAATTGTATCGTTTTGAGAAATAACGAACTTACTGGATAAAAGAAGATCTATTTTCTTATTGTATAAAAGGAAGGAGGGTGTTTGAATTCACGATTTTAAGGTTTAACGAACGACAATGATTATAAGACTAACCACAAACTAAAATAGGGAAGATGTACANAACAACATTATTTTTCAATATAAAATTGTATCGTTTTGAGAAATAACGAACTTACTGTATAAAAGAAGATCTATTTTCTTATTGTATAAAAGGAAGGAGGGTGTTTGAATTCACGATTTTAAGGTTTAACGAACTACAATGATTATAAGACTAACCACAAACTAAAATAGGGAAGATGTACATAAATGAAAATGGAGTAATACAATTTGGATTTAAAAATTAAAACTAAATTGTTGATATAATGATATGATTTTATATAAATTATTATATCAATATCAAATTTTAATGTTTAATGATGTCTATAATGAATATAAAAATAATAATAAATTATATTTCAATAACAGGGGTCACGAGAGCAACCTAAACTAATTGATGTGGGGGTGGTTAGTAAAAGCACGAGGTAAAAAAAATAGGTAAAGACCACAAAGAGGAATAAATGAAATCTAGGAAAACGATGTTTCAATAATAAATAGTGTCTCTTTCTCTCCTTNTCAATAACAGGGGTCACGAGAGCAACCTAAACTAATTGATGTGGGGGTGGTTAGTAAAAGCACGAGGTAAAAAAAATAGGTAAAGCCCACAAAGAGGAATAAATGAAATCTAGGAAAACGATGTTTCAATAATAAATAGTGTCTCTTTCTCTCCTCGCTGACAACTGATACTCATGCAAGACGCCACTTAGAACCCCTTTCATTCTTCTTCACCCTACGTTTTGTTTCATCTCTCTCATTGCTCTCATTTCTGCTTAAAAAGGTTATGGTTTCTGGTTTTCCATGGCTTCATCATCGTCCCATTCTCTCAAAGCTCTAGTTGTCTTCAGGAACTTCATGTACCCCAGTAAGCCAATTCTTTCAGTATTACTCGTTATAATGTTGTTTTCTTCGATTCTTGCACTATAAAACTCAAAATCCTCATCTGGGTCTGTCTCAAAAGTCAATTCGGAGCCAGTTCTTTCTGAAGTTTTTGATGCATTGTTTTGATTTGTTTCTGGTTTTTCTTGTTTTGGGTTCATTGCAGCGCTGATCAGAACGGTGCATGTGTACCAATTGGAGGGAGGAACAGAAGAGGAAGTGGAGAGAGAGTATGTGTTCCACAAGGATAGTGATTATGAGGAAATTGGTTTCTGTAAAATTTTCACGCTGCAGAAATTTCAGCTTTCGGCACAGTTTGAAGGTTTGGTGAACGGAGTGTGGCGTTGCATTTATGTTTTTGATGCTGATCGTCACTCCCCTCCAAATATAGGCCACATTCCTAGTATATTGTCAATGTCCAGGTACTAAATTTCAGATTTTTCTTATTTTATTTAATATATATATTTTTTCTGTTTTTTTAAGCCATCTTTCCCATTTGACAAGTGCCCATTTCAGATTTTAAATATTTATTTTTTTTAAAATAAAATGTTCATTCCGGATGTTGATGATGATATCGATTATAAGGCGAGGAGTTTTTGCTGATGATATTTGTGATGATTGATGTCTCTGTTTAAACAGAAAGGGAATGTTTATCCACTTGCATGCAATGTAGAGTTCATAATTTGGTTGTATTGATAAAAAAAATAAAAAATTATAGAGAATGTGTGTGTGTTTTTTTTTTTTTTGGGAGGGGGGGGTTCTAAGTAAGAGAAGTTGTGCTTCTTCTATTCTTATTTTTGCTATTTAATGATTTCAACTGCAATCTTTTCTCTCTCTTTCTTTATCTGTAATTCACTCTGGATTGAAAATATAGCTGCATTTTCCTTTGTATTTTATGTAATAAAAGAAGAGTTTTTTTTTTTTTCAGTCAACTTTATTTACTATTGATATAACAATCTTGTGTCTCTTTTGAAAAAAAAAAAAAAAAGGGATTTACCGATGAGCTTAACTGAGCCAAGTGATTTGTTTTTCGTTATCAAATTGTAGAAGTATTGGTTACAAAAATTAGACTTCGAATTTCAGTCCTGCCCCTTGCTATGCAGTTCAATTGGGCATGGCATTCGTTTTTGGAAATTCGAATGATGCATGTTAGCTACAACCTTGTTAATTGTTATATGTTGATAAAGGTACTATGGTGTGGAAAAATACAAAGGGATATGGTGGCTCCAGTAAGCAGAGGAGTAGATATCAAAAAGAAAAATATAAGCACAGGAAATAAATTTCAGAAATAGCAGGGATAATGCTGGGATTTTAAAGTTTTATAATTTCACAAGGGGGCTCCATATCACTACTGTCATATAACAAATACTTCATAGCCTCCTCTATATGCTTGAGCATGGATATGATAAATTGTATAAGAGATCAATATGATGTTCTGCATCAGGTGGGGCGTATTGGATTGCTGAAGTTTGATATAAATCACAATGGATCGATTCAAGCCTATAGGTTGATTAATATCTTAGTGCGAATAGCTTAATTTCTATTCCTTGATTCATTCCTGCTTTACTGTGCTTTTGTGAACAGATGTGATCTTTTTTACTCACAGAACTGCCCAATGTTGATTTGATCGTTTACACTTTGTGCAATGTGAAGCTTTATTATTCATCATCAATCATGGTGAAGCCTAACTCAATACATTTTTCTTCGGGCCCTCATACTTTGAGATTGAGCAAGAAAGCACTTTGATAGTTTCTTTTCTTTTCTTGGCTGGGGAAAAAATTGGGTCATACTGTCACTTTCTTTGTTTTGCTCAAGCATTTTTTTTGTTTCCCTGAGAGGGTATTAAAATCAGTGTACCTCAAAAGTAGTGTAGGATGACAAGTTCACACATGATTATACTGATTGCTAGTTGGTAGATGATATCCTCAGTAGTCAGGCTTCTTTTTTCTCAAAATGCATCTGAGTCTTTTCTACTCGTTTTGTTCGAGCTAAAGTTGCATTTTTTAAACTTAAGCCTCCAAGTTTGTTCTTAGACCACAAATTATTTTGACCTCACCCTACCCCTTCGGAGTTTCTAGCTCAACAATGAGTTGGCTGTAGGTGTAGATGCGGCTTTGTCCTATTGCCATGACCAGAGTCCTGGCAGCTGCTGCTGCTGGTACAATGTTCTGAGAAGTTTGAGCTTATAGGGTGTGCTCTCTGTTTATTCTCATGATAGATTGCTAATATGGTCTTAAATATATAACAAGATGTTGATACATCCTGGTTCTCTCACTCATAATTGGCTATATTTCTGGTATGATTTTTTTCTTTCAGGAATCCTAAACTGGCATCAATCCAGACGCTGGCCAAGGATCTTGAAATAATTTCTCAATTGAGCAGCCGAGTGGAAGACAGAGCTCCTGTCCAGATTCTACTGGTGGCGACGAAAGAAGGGAACCATAATAATGACCATCCGTTAAGAAGTACTCAACATGTGATTAGTCTGGATCTTAACTCCATTCCTTATTCAGAATCTGAAGATGAAGACAGTGAACAACATGAACCAGGTCAAATTCCATTGCTCGAATTCCCCAATAATTAGAAGAATGAAGTCTTTTTTCGAATATGCAAATCCTTAAGTCCACACTCCATGAATGCTTTTCTGTATAGCATTGTAAAAGTATACCTGAACAGCAGTGGAACTAAACTTTGGATTCTGCTAACTTTTGTTTGTTTACATCATCACTTCGTTTATAAATATATTTGAGTATCTCCAATAGTCGATAATATGCCCAGAAATGGAATTGGTCCCCTTTTGGATTATTCATACCATTGGCTTGAGTAAATTATTTGGAATTATCTGTCTACGGTTGTTGCACAAATGTCGATCAAGTAGTAATTCAGCATTGGTGATTGGCTCTAGGAAGCTAAGAAATTGACCTTAATGGTTTGGCTGAAGGTAATTGTTCAAATGTTATCGAACGGATAAAAGTGGAAGGTGGCCATTAGGGACTCGCTTATGGAAACTGGCGATTTTGTTGTACTCTTCAAGATGTGAAATATCCTCACTGGACACAACATGACATGCACATAAGTATGGGATATGTGATGGATATGCCAAGTGTTCCACTGGCATGTCTGACAACAGAAAGAGGAATATATATTTCATATACTCGAAATTCCTTTTCAGCTATTCCTATATGTTCTACTGCGATAAAGGTGATATAACATGAACAAAGTTTCCATGTACAGCAAGTTATATTACATAGACAACCTGGTTAACCACAGGGTTTGCATAGTAGAAATCCTGAAATTGGAGAACTTCGACTTTTCAGCCGAGTCCTCTTATCTTAGCATTAGGAGAACAGGTGAGGGACATGAACACCTACCTGCAGTGATAGGCATGCCCGAGTCCACGTAATGTAGCAGGTGATTCATATTTCTCGTGTATTATGTTGTTTGGGTTTCTTCATCTGTCATTTCAGAACAGACCCATTAGCTGAACAAGAAATTAAATCTGAAGGTGACTATTTCAGTTATTCTAGACTTTTTACTGTGATATGTGATGGTTAGGCATTGTTCCTTGCAAGTTTTTGCCCCCCTTGAAAACTCTTCTCTCTTTTAGAATAGACAGAGCCTGACATATAATTATTGTTAGATGTAGCTCTCACGAACAAAGGTGCAGTCGAGGTGGCTTTAACTGTAGCTCATGAGGCCTATTAGACCAGCTTTGCACTTTGTTATCTTCATTGTATGCCATTTCTAATAGCTCATGAAGATATTTGTTTATTTTTAATACTTTTATGCTTTTGTGCATCATAAGCCTTCCGTCCTAGCATCCACTTTCGAACGTGTTATTTCCATGTCTGAAGAATAAGAATACTTTTGATTATACTACTACTTCAAATTTTAAGACATGGAACACTTAGCAGTATGCAAATGAAATGCACACAAAAACAAATATAAAATTATGATATATCAGATGTCTTAAAATAAGATTCATATGGGATCTAGTATACTTATTCTGTATATTCAATATAAAGACTACTTAAATCAGACTTGTAAAACTGAGACAGAATATAATATATTGGTTGTTATAGTGGAAATAATGCTGTAAGATTCACAAAGCAGTTTATGAGACTATTTAAATTAGAAGAGGTGAAAAGGTTAGGTTCCGGGTGCTCTAATCAATTGCATGGAAGAGTTGCAATTTTTTCCTCGTATAGTGTTGGTTTTATCGTTTGATTTTATTTCTGAGTGTTGGGGTGGAAGATTGCAGTTGGAGTAAAGGAGAAGAAGAAAAAGAGGGCTGCAACCAAAGATATAGCTAGAATTTCTTTAGAAGATCTTGCCAAGTACTTTGATCTTCCAATTGTTGAAGCTTCAAAAAATTTAAAAGTTGGAATCACGGTACTCAAAAGGAAGTGCAGAGAATTTGGCATTCCTCGTTGGCCACATAGGAAGATCAAATCCCTCGATGGCCTCATCCGTGATCTCCAGGTCTGTTCTTTTGCTTGGTAACTTGCCAGTTTGGATATTCCATCTAGAAAACTTCAGTACTTAAAGTCATGCTCATTGATATTTCAGAAAAAGTTAATGGCATAAATATTCCCTAAATCTGTTATGTTGAAAATAATGCTAGATAAAGAATCTATATACAAACCTACACATGTGACTATTCTTTGTACACATCGGTATAGTCACTATCTCTGCTATCAAAGTACACTCTTGAATGTGCTTTTGTCTAATTTCTTTGAGTTTTTAGATCATCTTGTTCATTTATTTTCCTTATAAATTGGGCTTTAATATCAGCAAATAACAAACTGCTCTTATCAACTGTTTCAAAAGCTACTTTAAAAAAGCAGCACACCTCTGTTAACTGCTATTTGTTATAACATGCACAGTTTTTTATAAAGAAGTATTTGTAGGAAGAGGTAGAACGACAACAGGAGGACGATGAGGCTGCAGCCATGGTTGTTGCAAAGAGGCAAAGGATGATAGAAAGTGAAAAGAAAAGCATAGAGAAGGAACCCTTTATGGAGATACAAAGGGAGACGAAGAAATTCAGGCAAGATATTTTCAAGAGAAGGCACAGAGTTAGAGCTCTGGAGAACGAGTATCGGGCATTGACCTTATTCTAGCACAAGTTCTGCATACCCTGCTGGAGCAAGAAGTCATCCTATAGAATCGTATGTTGTTCTGTGCTTCTAATGTTGATCATGGCCTTCCATAAATCTCTTCTTACTTCTCTGATTTTGCTCTCCAAGTAATATCTTATGCATAATCTCCTTCTGTTCCTGTCTAAACTTGTTAGTTTTGCAATGGTCATCTCAGTTAAACCCCGGAGGACAACTTAAATGGTAGGGGGTTCAGTGGTTAATACATCAAGAATGATCATCTCTGTCTTGTACTTTGGGCTTTATGTTATGATGATAGTTGTTGGTTTTATGACGGAGAAACAAATGCTTACTCTTATGAAAAATGGTATTTGGACTTAATTTGACGACCTAATTGAATACAACCATTGGATTGATAATGAGTTTCATCTAACATTAAAACTCACAGCTAATCAAATTATTGCATTGAAATTACATCATTAAATCCTCAAATTAAGTCCCTGCAGCAGTGCTCTACCCTTATATGATGATGCCACAATATCAATTATAATTCTTATTGAAATGAAGAAATATTAGTGGGTGGCGTTATTATTGCTTACAAATTGTTTGAGTAAACTATATATTTGGCCCTCAAACTATGATCATGGTGTCAATTAAGTCCTTAAATTTTTTCTTTTTTATATCAATTTAGCCCATGAACTCTAATAGTGTCAATTAAGTCCTTTTATATGCCTTCGTTAAACTTTCTAAGGGAAAATGACGGAGTGTGCCACTCACGTTACACAAATGAGTTGTAGCTCGATCACATGAGTGGCACACTCTATCACTTTCTGTTAAAAAATGTAACAGAGGCAAACGAAAGGATTCAATTAACACAATTAGAGAGTTTAGCGGCTCAATTGACACAAAAAAGTTTAGGTCTTAATTGACGCAAAAGTCATAATTTGGAGGTAAATGTGTAATTTAAAGGGAATTTTTGCGAAAAAGGCTACTTTCCTTACACTAGGTTGTAATTTGTCAATGAAGAAGCCTCTACGATCCTGCAAAAGAGGGACCTTCTTGATCTCATCCCCTGTTTCTTTACTGGTTGACATTTTCCAATCCCCACCCCACAAAACAAAAGGGTTAGAATGAAGTGGGACTTGGATCATGAGGTCAAAAGGTTGAAGTAGTCTCCCAATTATAAGCAATACGTACCATCCAAGTGATTGTAAATGTGAGTTCCATGCAAATGCCAAACAAATTTTCAACAAACTCCTCTTGTTGGTGACCTTAGCAAGCTAAGTTCACAATATCTCAATAGCCACCTTTCTCTAATGAGACTTCACATCCTAAACGAAGGAACGATTTGACAAGAAAGTCATTTCAAATTTATTCGATGTTTATTGAAAAAGATATAAATAAAAAGTACTAATTTGAAAGGATCATAGGAATTGATCTGCAATAGAATTTACATTATACACAATAGAAGCACTAGAAGTATTAAACGAAATAGGTATTCCTTTGATAAAGGTTGGAGTATCAATGTGAAAACTCCAATCTAAATATGTTTTCAAAACTATTTTATAAATTTAATTCAATTATTTAATAGATTTCAGTTAAACAGATCACATCCGATAAGTTAAATATTTAAAGTCTAATGAAATCCATAAATCAATTAAAATTGAATTTTAGCAATTTTATCTTAATTTTGATTCAATTTTATCAAATAAAATTTAGTTTCGTCATATAACAATATAAACATGCATAGAAATTAGACTTAATTAGGGTTAACAATAAACAACCGAATTTAGACTCGGATTGTTAGTCAATCATCTTAATTTATTATACCTATTCGAATCGTATTTATATCAAAATCTGATTTATTGAAAGACCTAGGTTTGGTTGTTAATATATGAAAGCAACCCATTTAATTTATTATATATGAAACTATTTTTAAATTTTTAACAAATTTTTCAATGGGGGCAAATTTAAAAAAATTTTAAATTTCTTAAAATTTCAAAAAGACTCCAAAAGTTTTTAAAATTGCAGTGGCCCCCACACTCCCTCTGCCATTGGGTACACAAATGGGGGTAAACCTAAACCATGTCTACCCTTGGATTATTTCTCACTGTCCCTGAATCTGATTTCGTGACGTACACAGACCCTCGCCATTTAAAACGAAATTCTAGCTTTCGTGTCGAAATAAAAAAATAATTATATGTACATGTAAATTATGCATAATAATTTATAAAATATGAAATTCAAAATTTTTATACGCCACTAATAATATTTTTTGAATATAATAAAGCAAAAAATTATTCAAAATATGAAATTCAAATTTTTTATACGCCACTAATAATATTTTTTTAATATAATAAATTAAAAAATTATATAAAACCTGCGACAAAACTCGAAAAAGTCAAAAGAAAAATTTATAGAATTAATTTCTTGAATTAGTTTTGATAGTGTAAATAATGGTACGAGAATAAAGAGGTTGCAAAAGGGTTCGAAGGTAGGTGGACGTATGTACGTGAGTGAATGATAGATTAGCAGGTGTAAAGCTGAATAACTCTTTTATGTCGCAGAGAAATGATAACTTGTGAAAATAAAATAACCCATAGAATTCAGTGGTTTACCAGACTGACTGAAAAACTTGACTAATCGATTTTAATGGAGTCTCTTGTTCACTGATTTTTATTACTTGACGAAAAAGATTTATACAATGGGATTCAATAATCATTATACATAGGATATTCCCCCCTATTTATATAGAAACTAACTTTTGTCTTTATTTGATATCGTATGGTCCCCTTAATTAGTTCAAATCATGAGGATAATATTTTGTCGTTAGAAGATTTCTGACACTGTTTCACGTGTCCTTCGAAAAATGATGGGATGTAATCTTGAAAGCGATATCTTTGTGGCCCAGGTCGGGTTGGCATGATCAACACAGTTCTTCCTTAGATGCATATCACTGAGCTTCCGTGGTCATTGACCGAGCTGACTAGGTATCATTTGATGGCCTGAGAGACGCTCCCCTTTCAGAAGAGCTGTTAAGACAAGAAGTTCAGCTTAACTAAGCTTTATAATCGAGCTGCACCTATTATGTTGAGCTTCGGTTATGTAAGCAAAAGACTCATGTTGTTGACTCATCATGTCAACTTTGGACTTTATGGTCAGATCATCAAATTCGAATATAAAAAAAGTCTAATTTTGATCCATGGTATCATCAAGTCAAATATAAGTTTTTTTGGGGTCCAAAAAGTTGTTGCATGAGCTAATTCAGATGCCCAAGTTTAAATAGACCTGCTTTATTTTATTCAAAAACCTATAAAATCAACCTTTTCACTGCCCCAAATGGACTAAATTAATATGGAAGTTGTGGGGGATTAAATACTCTAAGACATGTGGAGCATGGTCCTTTGGAAAAACCTACTGCCAGTCGGCATTAGCAAGGAGAGTGACCAATGCCACTCGACTTAAGGCCAAGTAGCTTGCTCATGCCACTTGGCACTTGGGAAGCTTTCTCATGTTTGAAGACACTAGCCCTTGCCGGCATGGGGCTCGTTTGGCCACTACCAGCGGACAAATGGGCTGGGCAGGTCCTTATTCTTCTGTGCTTGGCACCCAAAATAACTATAGATCACTCTTAGTCTATTACTATTCTGAATATTTAGGAGTTGGTAATAAAGACTACGGACGAAGAATTCTAATCTAATTTTACCCCGTCAAGGAAGCACTGACACTTCGCCAAAGGTCGACGTAGCAATGTCAAACACTTGTCTGACACGAATATAGGTGAAACACGGCTGGATACGTGTCCAACACTTCTACACATGTACTACTGGATACAAGGGGATGCAGGGAATAAGAGGCTGAAAAAAGAAAAGAAAAGGAAAGATCGTCGATGGAATAGGGAGGAGAAAAGAAAAGAGAAGAACAATCGAAGATATGAAGATACATACGTTTGAAAGCCATGGATCTGGCCACGGATGCTTAAGCCACAGATTTGAAAGCCATGGGTCTGGCCAGGTATGTCTCGAACTCTTTCTTCTTTTCTTCTTTCCTCCTTCTTCTTCACCAGAAAGAGGGTTTGACCTCCTCTCTCCCCCTGTGATTTCTCTCCCTCTCTCTCTGAGATTGTGGAGAATGGCTTGCCCTACCTCTTTAACTTTACTCTTTTATATTTTTTTTCACTCTGTCTTTTTTTTCCTTGTTCTCTCTCGATATTTGAACACATTAAATTTTAATTTTTTAAAATATTATTCTATTTTTTGGTATAATCTATTTATTAGTTGTCAAATGCATTAACTCACTATCCAATTTGGTATTAATCCTTCAATTATAACATATTAACCCACTGTCTAATTTGAAATTAGTTCATTGTCTAATTTTAAAATATTCTCAATGTTTATTAAGTCGTATTATTAATGTTTTTATTTATATAAAAATATATAATATTATTTTAATTAGCCGTATCCTTGCCGTACTCATGTCCTATATTTTAAAACTTTATCGTATCCCCGTATCCATATCCGTAGTAGTTCGTACTTTTAGGACCTAGTGACGAGGTGCACTCAATCAACTAAGCGTTCGGGTTCATTTGGGATACATCTCCCCACCACTATAAATAATTGTCATGGGTACTAGGCAATTCATTCAATTTTAGTCTATTTACTTAGTACTTCTTGTTGAGTTTTTTTTTTTGTGGAGTCTAGTTTATGTTGGTCCGGATGATGACCAGATCCAAAATAATGTTGCGGGATTTTTTAAAGGGACATATAAAAAATGTTATTTTGGTGATTAGGGTTGGATCAGTACTATACAACCATCCTATGTATTCTTTCTTTTCAATAGTAAAATTCTTGCAGTTTCGTGGATGTAAGAAAATTATCGAACCACGTAAATACTGTTTTATGAGTGTATGATTATCTTTCTTTGGCGTGTGTTTTCTCTATTTTTGTTCCTCATAGATTTGAGAAATTTGTGCAAATTTCCTAATAATTGATATCAGAGTTTCAGGTTAAGAGGTCAAGGGTTTA